GAGAGAGAGAGAGAGAGAGAGAGAGAGAGAGAGAGAGAGAGAGACTCTTGAGAGAGAGAGAGAGAGACTTGACAGAGAGAGAGAGAGAGAGAGAGAGATCATCTTCTTCTTCTTCTTCTTCTTCTTCTTCTTCTTCTTCTTCTTCTTCTTCTTCTTTCTGCGCACCGCGCGCCGCACGAGCACGAGGGACAACGGCCCCGCGCTGCCCAGCGGCCGCCGCACGGCCGTCGCCATCGCCGCGCGCGTCAATTTCCAGCGCGCGGCGTTTTTAGTGCCCGGCCGAACGTGGCCGGGCACGGCCGACCGCGGCCGATCGAGGCCGATCACGGCCGAGGGCGGCCGGGCAAGGCTGCCCGCCTCCGTGGCGCTCTGCTGGGCGGCGGACCGGGGTGCTGGTGAAATGTGGCCTCGCGCGACATCGAGGGGACGAGGCGGCAGGAGCGGCGGGGACGTCAGGGTGCAGCGACATCGAGGGGACGCTACATCTACGGTGCCGCACGGTCAGACGACATCCAAGATCGAGGCCACGCCTTGTTGGATCCTGGTGGGGGGGCGATGACGGGGGGTTCTGGGGGTGCCTAATTCAACCCGCTGTTCGAGAAGGAGATGGCGAAGTTGAGGCAAGGGAACATTGTTTGGAACTTCGTCACCGCAGGCCAGTACGTCAGGGACCAGTCCAAGATGCACTGGGACCGAAAGTTGCGTTGCAACTTATGCGGCCACCTGTTTCAGGGGGGGTCGTCGGAGGCCGCTCGTCATTTCACGCAGTCGAAGTTCTGCAAGGCTGGGGGGATGAGAGTTCTCGCGGAACTCTGGAACGACACGGACTACGCATTTGTGCCATCCACTGCTCAACGGGTGCAGAGGTGGATGGCAGACGAGGGCATACGGGACACGAGAGCGTCCGCGGGTGGCCAGAGACAGCGGATGGACGACGGAGAGAGGGACGACATTCAGGATGCCCTCGATGAGGAGGAGGGCCGCGAGGGTGGGGCCAGGGAGGGGGCGGTTGCAGACGAGGCAGACGAGGCAGTCGGAGAGCCTAACCTGCCTGGGGAGGAGGTGGTGATGACGTCGAGAGGCATCGGTCGAGCGGGTCCTGCTACTAGGGGGCCGCAAGCTGAGGTGGAGCGCGCGAGGAGGGAGAAGAGGACAGTGGGGCAGGCTGGCGTCGAGGTGCCAAACACGGGTAAGGAGAAGAGGGCTCGGCAGACCACGATTGACGAGATGTACGCTAGGGAGAAGTTGGACAAGTTCACAGACGCGTGGCTTCAGTGGATCAACGTGAAGAAGTTGCCATTCAACGCCTTCCGTGCTCCGGAGTTCCAGAGGGTGCGGCAGGCAGCAGAGAGAGTGCCTCGCTCTATCCAGTTCCGGTTTCCCTCCTACAGGGTTACAACGGGCGCCGGTATCTCTTCGCAGAGGGCGAAGGTGGCGACTATGGTGAGCGAGGTGCTCGCCACTTTCCGGCACAGCGGTGCCACTATCCTTTCCGACGGGAGGAAGTCGCACAGCAGCAAGCTGCTCATGGACTTCCTCGCCGGGGGCGCCAATGGCGCCCTGATGTACAACACCGTCGCACGTGCCGGGTCGGTCCGAGACACAGCGGACGTCGTGTACTATAGGTGGCGGGCCATCATCTTGTCCTTTCCTGCAAAGGACGTGATCGGCTTCTGCACAGACTCCGCCAGTAACTATATGGCGGCAGCGCGCAGGTTCGCCACAGACCCCGAGCCTCACATCAGGAGGATCACTTGGCTCCCCTGCTGCACCCATGTCTGCAACTTGATGTTGTCAGATATCGGGACGCGAGTGGTGTGGGTCAAGGAGACCATCATCCGCGCTCGAGCGCTTGTGCGATTTATTAAATCGCACGGCGCTGCTCACACCCTGTTTAGGAAGGTGAGCCCTCGCGTTCAGCTCGTCGAGCCCGTTGAGACACGGTTTGCATCGGTTTTCCTTATGTTGACGTGTCTCAAAGGCCGACGAGACGCATTGGAGAGCATGTTGCACGGGGATGCTTGGGTACACATCCCGTGGGATCGCGCCCACGTATCTCAGGCGCAGTGGGTGCAGCAGCAGATCCGAGACGGTGAGTTTTGGCAGCGTGTCCATTACGCCATCCTAATCAAGTCGCTCGTCCACCAGCTGTTGCGCAGGATGGATAGAGGTGGGATGATAATGTCCGTCGTTTACGAGTGGAGTCAGCATCTGCTGCAGTTGATGAGCAGGGTCGACGTGTCGACGGACATGATCGACCGTGCATGCGTGAGGTTGAAATCCGCAACCTCCACATGCTAGAGCCCGCACATGTCGCGGCCCACCTCCTCAACCCTCGTCGACGGTCCCTGACGTATTACCATTCGTTGGAGACGACCACCGACGACCGCCGTGTGGTCGAGGAGTGCGACAGCTTTTTCCTGGCGCAAACCGGCGGCGATCCGGTCGGCTTATTGTACAGGAGCGTGAGGGACCAGATGAGGGCGTTCCACTTGAGGCGAGGGGATTGGGGAGATCGTGACCTCTCCGATGCCGAGGCGGCCGATTGCATGGGGGACAGTGAGACCGAGCAATGTGCAGCGTGGTGGTTTGAGCATGGACGTGCCCACCCGGAGTTGCGCACCATCGCCATCCGTGTGATGCACTTGTGGACGTCTGCCTCTCCAGCGGAGAGGAACTGGGCGGAGTACGAGCGCGTCAGCATGGCGAGGCACTGCAAGCTTGGGTTCGCCAAGCTTGCACAGCTAGTTGAGATTGCCACCAATCTCAAACTGGCCTCGTGCGCACGGCAGGGTGGTGGCTACGGGTTGCCATGGGTTATGGGGACCGGTCGGGGGGGGACGGCGGCAGAGGAGGAGGATGAGGAGGGAGATGTGGAGCCCGAGGTGTCCGGAGCGAGACCTGATGGCAACGTTCTCGAGCAGGAGATCCAGCGGCAGATTGTCGCTTTCCGTGACAGCCGACTGTCCAGAGCCCGTTTGGTTCGGGACGTGTTCGACAGCAGAGCGACAGAGTTGCGACCGTGGCTGGAGGGTGGGAATGATGTGGACGCTGCTGCGGCAGACGACGACTGGACTGACGATGATGATACACCGCTGAGTCGCGACTCGACGGCTGAGCGAGTGTACTTCACTTACGGTGGGGGTCGTGACGACATGGATTCATTCACATCAGTTATCACTGGCGATGTGCCATCGACCGCGCAGGCAAGTGGCAGTAGCAGAGCCGGCGGTGGTCGTGGAGGACGTTCGCATGCGGAGGTTCGCATGGACGACTCGGGGGAGCAGCAGCCACATGGAGGTCTTCGGCAGACAGGCAGGCGTTGGGAAGTTAGGAGCGACAGCGAGGCCGAGGGGGAGGCCGAGGGGGAGGGCGAGGATCAGGAGGTGCCCCTTCGCGATCGTCGCTTCTCTCCCCTCCCATCATCTGATCTCTGCACAGCCCGAGGCACTTAGGCGTTCGGAGAGGTTGGCGTTGACAGCAGGCAGAGACCGGACACATGACGGTGAGGATCATGGGGGGGAGAGGACTCCTTCCGACGCTGGTATCCGCCCCCGCTCGCCGTCGGTGCTCCACACACAGGACTTTGAGGACATAGGGTTTGGTGGGAGCTTGGGAGATTTGAGTGTCGAGGGACGTCGACGTGCCTCACTGCAGGAGGTGCGCACAGACGGGGACATTGAGCGGGGCCCTGTTGAGACTTAGGAGGAGAGGGATGCCCGTTTCGACCAAGAGGAGGAGGAGCGGCTGAGGAGTTTGCCACGTTGGGAGGGTCGGTTCGCGTATCTAGACGAGCAGCGTCGGCAGAGGGACTTGGAGACACGGGGGGGAGAGCCGTGACGTCGACGACTTGGGTGTCCCTGAGGAGGCGGTTCAGGGGGAGTTCGATTATGAGGGGCAGGATGCCGTCGCGGGTGGTGGGTCAGGTGGTGGACGACGCGGCGACGAGGAGACCGCGGGTGTTCCTGAGGGGCAGGATGTTGTCATGGGCGGTGGGTCCCCTAGTGGGGGCCGTGGCGACAGCGAGACCTCGGGTGACGAGGGACAGGGTGCCGCAATGTACGGCAGAGGAGAGGGTGGACCCGGTGGAGATGGGGATACAGCGGGTGTCGGTGGAGACGATGGACCGGATGACGACGATGACGACGACCACAGTCCCGAGGACGATCCGTATAAGCTCGCCTTGGTGTTGAGGGACCCCACAGTGCCTCCCTTGCGCTTGACGACATAGCGCGCACTTTCTTCAACGCCGACGCTTTGGCGCATGCGTTGACGGATGACCCTTTTGCACACGTGAGCCGCAAGAGCGGCAAGCAGCGGCCCCCTGGGAGGGTATATTCACCGCCGCCGTTCACAGTGCAGAGCCCTCACTGGTTGGGTTCGTCGCTCAGCGGCGTTAGGGTGAGGTGGGGTCCGGCAGACGCAGCGACGGCGACAGAGATAGTGCAGGATCGATGCCTCCACCGCCCGCACGGACTCCGGAGGCCAGGGTCGACACAGCGGACCGGACGGTGGCACCCGGAGTTGCGCACAGTGGCGGTTACCCGCCGCCACTCCGAGGAGGTGTGGGTGGCGGATGGTCAGCTGTTCGTCGGGTCGGGGACCGGTTGCGGGCGGATTACGACGCCGGGAGGGGCGTCCTCACAGGACGTATGCCTGTTCAGACGCAAGCTGCGGAGGGTGGTCTGGACGTCCGAGCTTGCAGATTGCAGGCCGCATGCTTGGTTTGTCACGAGCGGAGACGAGGAGATCATTGGTCCTCGAGGGCGCAGGGACATCCACCGACAGGCTGCGGGAAGAGCAGTTCACATCGGGCGAGGAGGGGTTGTTGATGCGTCCCGGGACAAGACGACAGCATGGCCTCTCGGAGGTTGAGGCTCGATTCGCTGCAGGGGTTGCCGCTGGGCAGGCAGCATTGGACGCGATTCAGAGGGAGAGAGATAGAGGGATTGCTGCATAGGCGGAGGAGGACGAGGATGCAAACACTAAGTCCGAGTCGATCGAGACTGCGGCCCGCAGACACAAGGCACAGGTGGCCGCGGTGGACGCTGCAGCACATGCGGCATACGTCAGCGGGGCACGGGGCACAGGTGCCGGAGGGAGAGGGGGGCGCCGGGGAGGGCCGCATGGCCGCCCGTCCTCTGGGAGAGGCCGCGCGCGCTCTGGTGGGAGATGACGACGTCCGTGGTGGTTTTTTTTTTTTCATTAGTTTTTTTTTTTTTTTCACGTGGCTGTACAGCCTGGACGCTTTGTCGACAGGGTTGTTGCATATTTATGTCGATGTTGTTCCATGGAGACGACGACAGTATGTGGACATTAAGTTTTTTTTTTTTTTTTTTGCTACTCGGTTGTACAGTAGAGACGACGCCCGTCGACGGGTCCAATTGTTTTTTGCTACTCTGTTGTGTAGCAGAGATGATGGGTCCAGTTTTTTTTTGCTACTAGGTTGTACAGTAGAGACTACGGGTCCAGTTTTTGGCTTCAGCCTTGTACATACGCATTTCCATTGAAATGCTTTGTCATATATTTGCTCTTGTTCCTTGCATCTGAGTTGTTGTTGTTTGGTGATTGTTTTCTGCTTTGTTGTCGTGATTGTTGCAAATTATGTGCTTCTCTGATGCCACGCACCTGCATGTTATGGATGCCTCCATTATGAATGTGCTGTTAATTTCAGATGCGACATAGGGATGATGTGCTAATGAATGTGTTCTTACATAAATGATGTGCTAATGAATGTCCATCAGTCTCATGAGTGAACACACACTATGACACACTTGCCTGTTATCATGGTTTGAAACTAGTGGTTCGCCGCACTGTGATTGATTTTCAATGTGTTTTGACATCGGTATGCCAAACAGGGTCTGACTTATGATTGCCATGAATGTGTTGTTTTAAAATAAGCCACGAACTGTCATCGCCCTCATTAATGAAACCGACGCCAACCTTTCAGTGTGTGAGGCCCTGATCCGCGTGGGGTCTGCCATCTACAACCCGTCTAGCTTTGACCCGGCCTGACCGCACGGCCCGCCCCAACCAGGCCCTCACCCAACGCACGTTGGCCCGACCGCGGAGAGGGCAAATATTTTTTTTTATATTTTTCCACTGTTCCAGACCCTCCTCCCTGCGACCCCTCATTGACGAACCTGCACACGGGGGGCGCTGGATTTTTCGCGGCCCACCCTTTCAGGGTCTTGTGCAGGAACCCCCTGATTTTTTTTTTTTTTACACTCTGTCACTTTGAGGGGGTGCCTCCTCACCCCCCCACCCCAAACCCGCTCACCGCTTTGAAAACTGCCTCCCAGATCGGCCGACACCGTGGCCGAAAAAACTCGGTCGGACTGGCCGTGGCCGAAAAAACTCGGTCGGAACGGCCGCGGCCGGGAAGGTCCCGGCCTAGGCCGCCGGCCGTGGCTTGGGCCGAACTCGGGCACGGCCAGCGTGCAACATAGGTCGAGAGAGTATATAAACTAGCGTTCAATACTGAGTCCGATATCATCCGAATCAAGATAATCAACACTAAAAAGTTCACGCACTTCCCCAAGAAAGTTGTCAAGAACACGATTGTTAACAGAAGCGGCATCGTCATTTGTAGGACATAGAATTAACTGAGGCAAGAAATAATCGGCATCCCCCACATGGTTGGACACATTATCAAACGTCCATGAAATCAACTCATCAATTGGTTTATCTGTACAAATCTTACGTGGCAATCCGACCGAAGTTGGTTCATTAGGAACAACACGAGGATGGTCACCATTCCCAATACGCATCAAAAAGTGGTCATACATTCGTGCCATTTCATCATTGCCCAAACTTAAGATTCGGATATTTTCGGTCAGTTGATGAACATCAAAAAGTTTCCAGAAAGGAGACATTTTCATGGACGCATCAATTTGTTGTGCTCGCGATCCGTGTTTCACAACCAGTAAAACCTGTCTAAAATCCCCAGTGAGAAGTAAAACTTTCCCACCAAACGGCTCGTCACTGTTACAGAGGTCTCGAAGCGTAATATCAAGAGCTTCCAAGTGAAACTTGTTACTCATCGGAGCCTCATCCCAATCAATCAAGTCGGTACAGCAGATAAGTTCTGCAAGATCACTTAAAGTTTGTTTCGGAATCAAGAAGGGACGCGTGTTATCACGTTTCAAAGGTGCGCGAAATCATGAATGAAACATTCGACCCCCCGTCAAAAGAGTCGTCGCTATGCCACTGAACGCGATGGCAAGTGCAATGGCAGAACACGACCTGATGCCCGCCAAAATCGTTTCAATGCAAAAAGTTTTTCCTGTTCCAGTCGATTCATTGACAAAAGCACGCAACGGTTTTTTCTTTTGCACAACCCAAACGACTATTTCCACCAACACTCGTTGACGTGGATGAAGACGTCGAAAATTACAGTCATATCTGCGTTGCATTAGAATAGGATCATACGACAACTCGTCATTTAGAATCGAGGATACCGTTCTATTCTCGTAATGTCTCGTTATGTTCTCAATAATTTTTTTTCCGTCGGGTGTTGGATAGTAAAGGCAAAACGGATGGATGTTTTTTCCAGACTCTTTCAAAATACGGTCAAGATGGAATAACACTAACGACTGCAAAATGTTTGGGGGAACAATTTCATTGTCCGCGCGATACTGAAAATCATCGCACATCTTATCCAATGTCGTTCAAAGAAACGGACAGGATCGTTCACCGGACCAAACGCGAGAACCATAGCAAATATTTTACGAACTTCTTCTGGCATGTAATACGCAGCGGCTGTGGCTATGCATTGATCGTATGTATCGTATGTTTGCAAAAGGCCTAATTGAAGACACATGGATCGGAAAAGAATCATATTCGACTCCGTCCACCGTACGAATTTCGGCAAAAGAGCGCACCCCACAGAAATGTTCGTGGTTTAGCAATACGAGCAGATAGAATCGTTCCCCTTCGGTAATCCTACGTGATGCAACCGAGATATCTTTTCGAAGGGACCACCGTGGAGATCACGCTTTCTTCGGTTCCACTTCTTATGTTTGTTAACCCATACATGAGTATTAACGATTTCTGTGTAAAGAGGAAGCTCCTCTTTAAGAACACCTTCATTCAAAACGTTGTGTTTTATCCATGCCGTCAATTTCGTTTTCGGGGGTTTATGCGAAACAACCTCATGCTCAGTGTCGGGTTCGAATTGTAATTTTTGCATGTTTTCGAGATGCACGGGCAACCTTTCCACGGCGGATCATTGTTCCGCAACGTCAAACTCAAATAAACGATAGCATGCTTCGCATGCACCTACAACACGCATATCTTGATACAATTTAACTTCGTCGATGACCGCATTATTATCCTGCTCACAAACCATAGCACGATCGCACCCTTTGTATACTTACTTCTACACGTACTTGCACGCCTTGATGTTAGCACAATATTCAACATTCAAGTGGCAATTAAACCTCATCAGCAAGTACGGGTCATACGGGACCACATGGCGATTGTCGTAAACGACACCATTTTGAACAATCGTAAAACCACCGTCACTTGGTTTCCATCTCCTATACGAAGGGTACGTTTGTTCGTCTTTGAATGTTGTTGTGAAAATGAAGTCTTTCGGAAACCCTTTTGTGCATTCTCCGTCCTCCGTACACGAAGCGTCACGTTTCTCCGCACCACAAATCCCGTGTAACATGAACTTGGCTACCTTTTCTCTCAATTCCCCTTCCGGGAGAGAAGGTTAACAACAATCGTACTTTTCATCACCACTTCCCGACACCCTTCACCACTTCAGGATGCAGCCTGCCTAATCAGGTGGTTTTCAGGATCTTCGGACCTTTCACCACTTCAGGACCATTCAGGTATGAAAATCCTGAATGGTCCTGAAATGGTGAAACCTCCAAAGACCTTGAAAACCACCTGTTTAGGCAGGCTGCATCCTCAAGTGGTGAAGGGTGGTTTTCATGGTCTTCGGACCTTTCACCACTTCAGGACCATTCAGGATTTTCAGATTGCCCAAAACTCTCACGTGACCACTTTAGAACACCCTTCACCACTTCAGGATGCAGTCTGCCTAAACAAGTGGTTTTCAGGGTCTTCGGACCTTTCACCACTTCATGACCATTCAGGATTTTCAGACTGCCCAACACTCTCACTTCAGAAATTTCATTCCTGAATTTTCAGCTACCCGATAACCTATGATAAATTGGGTATCTGGCCGGATAATCTGGTCGGATTATCTGGCCAGATGATGGGGGGGTAGGATCATTCGGAAATCCGGATAATTAAAAAAAAGGACAAAAAAAAAGCAAAAAAAAAAAAAAAAAAAAAAGTGAT